TGTTTTAATGTCCTCGGTGTTGACAGACGAATGCATGTTTCTCAAAATAGCTTGTAGCTTAGGCTTGTAGGTATAAAATTCATTCATAAGACTCAATGGTTTTCGCTTGGATTTTTACTTTTTCGTTTTTTAAAACTTTTAGCTCAAAATTGTTTCCTACTGGTGAGGACAAAATATTTATGAGAGGATTTATGTTGTTTACCCTATCTATGAATATTGGTGGAGGTTTGGGCTGCTTTTTGCCATCTTGCATCACTTCTTCAGCTTCTTCTTCTTCTATTTCTAGTACTGAAAATCTATATATAGAACGGTTTGAATTGTCTAGCCAGTAACTATCTAATTTAGCTTGTTTTTTAGTTTGTTCAGGATTTTTTGAACGGCGAATATCGAGACTTGAACAAGTTCTTTTCTGACCTTCTTTTTGAACTTTGATTTTTTGTACTGAAGACTTTTCAAGAGAATTGCGTAATGGGGTTTCTTTTAAGTGAGTTATTCCCTTCGATTGAGTATGTTGTTGGAGAATTTTTTTCATTAGTAATATAGAATAGCGCAAAATGATGTAATAGGCATTTCGTTCAGTATAATATTTGATGTAATAGCGATCGAACTTACCGGGGTTGTTGGATGTAAAGGTAAGGCATGAGTAGAAAAAACGGATATCTGAGTTGATGTAAAACTCAAGGTGTTAGTTATCGAGTTTGGAGTGCTTACTGTAACGCTATTTGTAGTACTTATTGAAGTTAAGCAGGAATGCGCTGTTAGATTTGTTGGGGTGAGTCCCAGCGTGAGCGTATGAGGTGAGCTTATCAGTGGGGTATGACATTGTTCACTCCAACATTGTTCACTAGTTTTTGGTGTAAACAAGTGTCGTAAGTTTTTTCAAATGAGTTTCAGTTGTTTTTGGTCTTCAGCTATTTTTGGCTTCGTGTTGCTAATGGACTTCGTTGATTTGATCATTTATTTCCTATTTCAATAGTTTTTGCATATATAATGCGATTTAACACTCAAAAACTTCGTTGATCTAGAACTTTGTATGTAGTTATCGCGCTAAACACCAGCTAACTAGTAAAAACTAGTAAGAGCACTATAAAACACGTCTGTACGTATAGAGGACTTTTAAACAATTCGATATTACAATTATTCAGTAACATATTCGAGTCTTTTTCCTATCTTGTCCAGTGCTATTTTAGCACCAACCTGCAACTGATCTCAATTACTAATATCAAGAAATATTTTTTCTGTCCAAATATAGTTTAATTGAATTAAATAAAATTGTGAAATAAAGATTAATTAATAATGAATGATTTTAATTTACGCACCGCATATTGATGTGAGTAACAGAATATTCGCAGAAGAAGTAGATTTTCACGTACGTATTCCCACTGATGCATGTGGGCTGATGCGTGGACAAAGAGTATTCATCGAGTTTAATTTCGACGTTTAAAGAACAGTAACTTGTGATCGATTGATCGCAAGTTGACCTTAAAGAGCAGTAACTTTTGAACGATTAGTCATATTAGGCAATCTTTTACTTGTTTGTCAGATGACAAGCTTGTGAGACACTCCACGTTCTAACCAATTCTATAATAACACTAAGTTATTACTTCTATAATGAGCTTCTTTTATTTATTACCCTATTACTATCCTATTATTTTGAATAAAACGAGTGATATCCACTTTTGCTGGTAAATAAAATAAAAGCTCTTGTTGGTTCGTAATTCATGCATGTGTTTATTTATTAAGATAAAAGTTGAATGGTGTTTAAGGTTTGGGATGTGGGATGTGGGTTTTGGGTGTTAAGGTTATCAAGATGACTTTTGTATACTATGGTATTCATACATTAACTTAGTAAATATTAATTAGTCATTATTATCCGGGTATGAGAATTTAACCTAATGTTAGTTGATGACATTATTTAGATATGATTTGTTAAGTGAGTCCAAAATTAAGTAGTAGTAGTTGAGCAACTTTTTTCATTGGCACAAGTTTGATACTATTTCGGGTTGGTCCGATGGTTATTGCCTTCATCATTTTTTGTGTTATTTTCCTCATAAATCATCTTGCCATATTCCTTCTTCTTTTTCACTTGATCTCTTCCATCGTGTTCACTAGTCTTAGTTTTTCTTTCGAGTTTAGCTATTAACCTCTTTACGTTATCGTTTTTGGGCTCCGCCCAATTTTTAAATTTATTTCGTATCGTTTTAAAATCAAATTCTTTTTGAAGGTCAGTTGTACCTATTCCAAACAAAACTTTTAATATTATTCATATTATTCATATTTTAATATGGATTTCATAATACATATGTATAAAAATGCGTTCTTGTTCCTAAATAGAATACTTACCACTACATTCTTTACTCAAGCATGGCTTTTCATTAGGTAGTAAAATCAAATTCACTTTGAAGATAAGGTGTACATTTGGATTCAATTCTACAGGTGAGACTGTGGAGGCTGATCCCTCATAGAGTAGAGGCTGAAATGGAGAGTTGATTTCATGTTCAGTGTTAATGGTTGAGTAACTTGTCTCTGCAAACTCCTTCGAAAGATTTCTATTTGCTTCAACTGGTTTGGAACTGTTTTTGTTTTTATTAACATCTTTTCCTGCTGAGGCATTCCTATCGTTTGTACTATTTGCATTTTCAAGAAGAACAAATTTCTGTCTTGCTCTTAAGAATTGTTCACTTGTTAAGGGGCAATCATTATTTTGAAATATTGTATCTCCTCCATATTGTCTATCCTTAGGAGACACAGACGTTCCATCACCTTTATATTTTAATGTTATACTTTCAGGTTTAGTGGCATTGCCAGATATCGAACTTTTAATCATTTTCACTTGTTTATTAAATGATTATGTATTAAATATCTAGTATACGTCAGGCCAACAATTCTTGTTACAAAACTCGTGTTCTAAAGCAAAATTTATTAGGGAGAAAAAATTTTTAGCATATTACTAGACAAACTCAATTTTTAGAATTATTTCATTGATTTCACATATTCCATATTATTATGTTATTTGTTTATTGAACGTTTTTTCGAAAGACGTTATCTCAAGACTCTCTAAAATAAGTTTATTAGCATTTACAGTCATTAACTGAGTATTTGTAATTTATACAAAACTGTCAGTATCTGTCATGCAGTTTTACTACATGTTTGATATCTGATCTACAAGAACGATGTCATAAAAAATTATTAAAACTTACACTCAACAAAACTTCCTGCGGGAATAAAAATCACATTTCGAAATAGGCATCACCAGAATGCGCGTATCCAAATGGCGGATCCGTGCACGTTTCTCAAAAATAAGTGGTAGAGGGAAAATTAAATTCTTTACGGATGAATTTTTTTCTTCACATAGGTCGAAACAACCTCTCGACATTGGCTGAAGCCGCCTAAACCTGGTGCTCTATATGCTTTCAAATGAAAGCCTGTCGGCGGAAAAATGGAAAGAAAGAAAAAACAAAGCCAGTGACCGCGAAGGTCAGCTCCAATCGCGCAGACAGACTACTGTGACAATAATCAATCATTGTTATTTTATATACCATACATATGTAGTAGTCTACAGAATACTTTTTTCACAACCTAGTATGAATAATATTGGTATAATAAATTTTTATACACTAAGAGCTTGAGTCAACGTTTAGGTTATAAAATCTCAAAGTGAACTTTACGACTTTCGTTCTTTGACTTTAGCACATTGATTAATGGAGTCTTAAAACAACCGATAAACTTACTTTGGATCCCAATTAAAAGTTTATGTTCCAAAGAGAAATTATTGTTAAGCGTGAATTACGATTTATTGTATATAGGAAAACGTGATGGTTGCATTCCGAATGTTATCTTCGGACTCTATATATTCTTTTACACCTTGTCAATGGCACGTTAGCAAATATCTTATTTCCTTATATACTTCTTGATACCCGAAATACTAAAAAATTTTGTTAAAGAAAGTTCGAAACATGTTTTGAAGTGACCGGGAATTTTGAATAGATAAACACAAAATTGTTTCTGAAAAATTATGAAGAAAATGTTGTCAAATATGCTAAGTCAAAACTTTTTAAATCTCAAGGAAAACCTGATTTAATTTGTTTTTCAGATTTAAAATTCAAAGGAAGTGTAATTTCGTTTCCAGTAGGTTGAATCCATGTTGCTGAAGAAAGTTCTATTGGATATGTCTTTATAAACTGTGTAACGTAGCAACAAAATCATTACGTATCTATCAATAATAAAAATATATATGGTAGCCTTGATACAATATAATTTTATAATGTGGATATGGCAATTCTTGTCCATAACTTATTGAAAAAATTGTGTTAATCACAGAATACACACAGAAGTGTTGAAATTGTTTTGAGCCGTCGATTCATTTGTAGAACGACATAAAACTAATGTGGCTTCATTATATAAAACCTCTATACGACACTTAATTATAATAGACTTTTATATATTTATGTTACTTTGGATACGTATCTAACTTATGAGTTTTTTTTATATTATTTTATTTTGAAAAAATAAAAAACCTTTTTTTAATTTTTACATCAGCAGAAGCCGAATTTATTGTTGTAAATGGGTAGAAAGTTAATTTCAGACCCTGCATTGGATTGAAAATTTGTGGTATTATATAACATATACTATTAAAATACTATTTTGCTATTTTGTATGCAAATATGTTTAGTTGTACCTCTTATATGTAAGTATGTTAAGTTATACCTATATCTGCTCGTTGTATAACCTTTCTACATCTAATAATAGCATTTGCTAATAATATGGCTTTTGTACTTAAAAGTTGCTGTCTTCTCTTCTGGAATGTTCATAAATCAAATGATTAAAATGTGTGTATTATAGTTTATTTTATTCAGAACTAAAATATGGAATTGAGTGTAGGGTGGGGTGTAGGGACATATATTTATAATACTAACGATTCAAAATATGTCACTCGACTTATAAACAATAAAATGCGGCTTCGGCATAATGTCTTAATTCTTAACATAATGTCTTAACATAATTTTTGGGAATTTGAAAATACTGCCATTAAAATATTTTTTTATTATTGTAGATTACTAAATTCATCCACTTATTCACTTACAATAATAATTATAAGCTTATTTATCATTTTAGTAAGGTCTTCTCACAGAATACAAACGCATTTTTTGTTTTCAATTTGAATAAAACTCAAATGTATAAATAAAATCATAAAACTAAACATATGAGCTATTAACATTAATTATAAAACTTTATTAAAAAACAATTCTTACAAGTTATACAAAAATAAAAAAAAAATTTTAAGGAAAATAATATATTATATTACTCATAACAAGTATAATTTTAAACAAAATTCTGTGTATGACTTAGTTGGTGCCAAGTTGCTGATCCAATAATTTACACTTGATGCCCGTTTAGTAACTGCTTGTTTAGATCTTTGACCTATAACTGTAAGTGAGTTGGTGCGAACATTGTCTGTACGGTTTTCATATTTTTTATGATCGCTACTACCTTTTATTGCAGTCAATTTTGACGATTTCCTGAGACTGCTTATTTTATCAAGACCAAAATAAAAGGATGAATTAAAATGTAAATTTTATATATTGTAATAACCTTTGCCGGCTCTTTCCAAAACTGGGGTATACTCAGAGTATAGCAGGATTAAACACAAGACTTAAAAAATTTGTTAAGTTGCTTTTTAAATATAGATATTAAGTCAAAGATCTCTTTTCGGCTCATTCTGCTCGCAACTCATGAGGCGACAAGAAGCTCTTCTCATACGATGGCTCACGATTGAAGATTTGTACGAAGGTGTAAAATTTTTAAAAAATTTAGTTAAACCTAATAGTGAAATAGATTTATATTGCTGTAATAAATATTTTATTTTGCTTTTTATATTTAATATTATGCAAGTACTTTTAATTATGAAACAGGCAATTAGATAAATTAGATTCTCAATTAGCCTTACTACAGAATCTTATTTCCTTATGTATAACTTACTATTAAATAAAATTTTATAAAGTAGTCAGCCACACACAGAAGTACAAAATCAAACTCAGGAACCACCAAAACCCACTTGCAACCAATCTTACTCAAAGCACTGGAACCCAGCGTCTCAAAAGGAACTATATAAACCCGGCTATTAAAGAATAATGTCCGACATGTAAACGAAATTGGACGAAGCTTTGGATAAGGACAATTAATTATCTATTTTCTCTTCTAATACAGTAATTAGCAGCGATAATTTATTGTTAGTTCTAAGTTGATTTTTAGAAGATTCAATAAAATTGATATTTTTAATTTTTTCAAAGTAAGATTCGTAGAACTGATCCTCTTCACTTATATCATTTCGAAACAAATACCCTTTCTCTATCTACCCTTTTTCATTTCGTTGTTGCTGTAGCCAATCCATTTTCACAGCCGACCAGGTACAGTTCACTCTTCCAAACAAGTTCAGGTCGCTTCTCTATCACAAATTTTAACTGGGAAGAGTTAGGACAGTTTAACTTCACTGACAATGAGATTAAGATTTCAATTATAATAAGTATTAAGTTTCAACTTGGACCATGTCTATCATCACTACCATACATTTCCATATGTAAAACCAGGACAGGGCGCTGGTTTATGGGCGCGCTTTATGCCTGTTGTAACATTGAATGAACGACAAATGAGTTTCTTATAAAAGTATTTGTTGTATAAAATAAAAACTAACGTAAATTTTATTAATATTAAAATTTATGTATAATTAAATATAATATGTTATTTAGTTTATAAAATATTAATCTCAGTTTGGTTAAATAGCATTTTATGCTTCGCCAAAGATTCTAGGTGGTCTTAAATCATGAGTTTTTCTTATATATACGGTAATACAATGGGCCTATAGGCCTAAGTGGATCCACTAGGGATCGCCAGTATAACCTAACCTTGTATAGGTTTATCTGACTGGTTAGAAACTTCATATAGACCTAAAGGTTCCGGACAAAAATGTCTACTTCAAATCTTTACTATATGCAGATTTGTAGTAGACATTTTTACGAATCTAAGGAATTTATAAAGCTTTATTGCCGATCCTCTTTACCCTTGAACCCGTAACTATTTGCCGTGCATTTTTAGGAGTATTTGTAGACGAGAGTGTTTGTAGATAAATTTAAAAACATACCCAATGCGCTGTAGTTTCCAGTACACAAGCATCGTGCTATCAGAGGGAAAATTATAAATTTAAATACTAAAGTTTGTATTAATGAATAATTAGTTCTTCAATATTTAGTTTATATTAAATGATGATAGCAGAAAGGATTCTAAAAGATCAAAAAAAAAAACTCTAGATTAAATGTTCGTTAATAGTTAATTCAAAAAATGTATTAAATGTAACGAGATTAAAAAAGTGTGTGAGTTTACAAAAGGAAATCAATTCACAAAAACAAACTTAATGGATACGATATTATTATCATAATATTCTTATTCTATAAAATATTCAAACAAAAACAGATTCATATTTTGGTAAATTATTTCAGGAACATTTGTAATGTCCTCATAGGAAAAATATCCACAACATTCGAGTTGTGAGGTAAAGTACACCAAACAAAAATGGAATCTAAATGTTTTTGTTTGAATTAAATTCAAATTTTTTAAATTTCATTTGTTTTTTATATAAAAATATTCAAATTAAAGCAAATAGTTACTAAAAGTTTGTTCTTTAAACTCAAGTATGAGGTATTGTTTTAGCACTTATGTTACCTCAGTGTGCAACAAATTAAATAAAAAGTGAATTTGTAGCGTCTCCACCGCCGTCAACTAATATAAAATAAAAATTAAATATAATTATAAGGAAAAAATATTTCTTACAACAAATATAAATTCTTTTCGAGTGCAGTAGATGGAGCACGGTTGATGTTCTCACCTACCAAGAATGCCAATTTATGAGCATACTGACACACTGCTGGTACGCGGCAGGTACCAGCCCAATTATAATACCATATATGTGCGTCATTTTATAAGTTAGCATTTGAATATGTTCTGGCTTAAATCCAGTTGTATCGTGTATAACGTTGTAGTTGGTAGGTGAAACCGTACCTTGGAATATAGACTGCGACACTAAATAAAAGTCAACGCTCTGGTAAAGTAATAATATCGTCCACAACGGTACCAGGTGGAGGATTGCGACCTTTGAGAAAGTATCGCGTGTTGATTCTTTTAGATGCAACTATAAATGCGAAGCGTGGACGTGCACTTCCAACGCTACTATATATTTCGTCTAATCTATTGACTAGAGCTTTAACTTCATGGTTTACAACTTGGTGCAGCTGACCATCACCAACTCCATCACGATAAAATACTATACGTTCAGGCAAGCATTGATGCTCCTCTTTAAATGCCCGTAAAGCGTTCGCTACACTTAGCGTTAAATAATTTGATAATTCTTGGCCTTCTACATATTCTTGGACTAATGAATAATATCTTGATAACTTCTTTATGTCCATTGTTGAAACAAATGCGCCATATGAATTATGTTTATTTTTAGTTGAATGATATACATCAAAACCGCATGTCATAATACCACGCAATTTAGCGTTCATTTGTATGACAACCTTCGTTGCTATTGACATTAGACCAGCCGATTTTTCTGGACGAGGTGCAATAACCTTCATAGTCACAACTTGTGAAGCAACTACTCTATCAACGCAACATTTTTTCTTAATTACAGCATATCTGCAAATCAATAAATAATATCAATAATGTCGTTATTATTTAGAAATATTTAATATTTACTTTTCTTCGCTGGGACTGAAAAGAACCGTCATAACGATCTGCGGATCTTGAGATACAGCAACATCTATAGCTGAAGCATAAGAATTATTTCTGTCATCCTTCATTTCGATACTTTAAAATAAAATACAAAAGAACATTAAAAAAAACATCAAAATAGCTGAATATGTAAATACTATATATATTGTAATTGCGATATAATTATGGTGGATAGGTGACTTTAAATGTCATCATACGAGTTAGAATTGAAGAAGATCTACGTCCCAGATTTTTGTGAGTTGGGCACAAAAACATATCGTTCAAATATATCTAAAGGTCTGTTTAAACAAAAGATTTTGGAATTATTTATCGTGGAACTGTACTATTTGCAATCAAAATACGTTACGAGTATGGCAAGCTTAACCAAAATATATCCCCAATCCCTATAATCTTCCCCACCTTGACTCATCAATTACCCACCCACATCCTAAAAAACATGTATCGTCGTGTAATTTCTTCTTCTTTACAGATACGCACTGGTTAATACGACATCAACATGATAACATGGTCACAAACGCTTTGTCGTCGGGATAGACAAATGGCTCCAGGACATACATTCCCGAAACTAAGTTCCTCCAACGCGGCCCATACTAAATTTCAGTCCTTTTCATACAGTTTAAAGGTAGGTATCTTTATTCTGTCCTTCATTCTGCTGACTTTTGCAATAAAGATGCCTAAAGATGAAGATGGTGGCAAACCTAGATGGCATACGTTTAGATGCATAAAGAAATAAACTAGCTTTTGGTATTAATATAAAAGAAAAGTGTTAACCTAATCTAATAATTCAGCTAGCATATTATCCCTTCTAATCATATTTGTTACTGAAGGAAAATGAATTATATTTCATAATATAAATAGCAAATTAATTGCACATTTAACTCTTCAAAGAGCATTTTAGGCTTTGTCAAAGGGTCGAGGTAGTTTTTAAAGCTTTGCGTTCTTATACGGTAAACCGTATAAATCGATTGTCAGTATAAGCTAACCTAAAATATGTTGAACGAACTAAATATATGTTGAACGAAAAAAATGATGAACCAAAAAAATGATGAACCAAAAAAGTGGCTGACCAAAAAATATGTTTGACTAAAAAATGATAGATCCAAAAAATGATTGACGAAAAATATGTTTGACCAAAAAAATTATTGATCAAAAAATGACTGATGAAAAATATGTGCGACCAAAAAAATATATTAAAACGACTGCATCGCTTAGTGTTTTAAAATATATTTAAATAACTGAACTAGTTATTCACATATACACATTCAGTTAATTACTTACTACTTTGGTTCATCAATTTGCATCTTCATGCCGCTAGCTACACGTTGACATGTTTTAACGAAGTTCTGAGCTTCACGTACACTCCGTCCAGAAATATTGACCTCATGGTGAAATACTTCCAGAAATGGATGATTAAAATTAACAATAACAAAACCAAGGCTATATTCATAACACGAAAGAGAAGGCAGCATCCTCCAAGAGTGAGCGTCAGTTACACGGATTTACGGTGGGAAGTAAGCATAAAATATCTGGGGGTCACATTTGACAAACGGCTCAATTGGTATAAACAAATGAAATGCGAACGGAATAGCTGCTCAAAAACTCCTACATTTTCTAAAGCCGCTGTTCAATAATAATCACTTCAACCTCAAAAATAGAAAGTTACTATAAACTCAAATAATTAGGCCACCACTACTGTACGAATGTGTTACGTACAGCAAAGCCTCAGATACTGCCATGATTCCATGGTATATTAGAACAACAGACATGCAAAGAGATGTAAGGGTCGACTTAGTGAAAAAATATATCAGGGACAGAGCCCTAAAATTATTCACAAAAGTTGATACGCTGCCCAACCACGTTCTAACAAACCTCAAGTCCACTTCAGAACCCACAGGAAGATATGCTAACCTACGGTCTGTCATCAGTTATACAATAAATAAACGATATGAATTCCAGTATAGTTAAAGCTTAGTGAGGAGCTGAACTGAAGAAACCACAACAAAAACAATAACATATATTGTATTTGTGAATTTCAAATACAAGAGGTACGAACTGAACGAAATCAACAACGATAATTAGAACGGAGAAAAGGGCGCCGGTTCGTAATTAACACACGCAGAATCAATGACCGACTGCGCCAACAACTACATCAAGCATTTTGTTCCTTCGTTTTGCATTCGAGTACGAGCCAGATATTGAGTATTCCGCACATCTATAATGTCGATTGGTTTTATGGACAAAAAATGCCCTTATTGTCATGCATCATGCACTGAAATTCAAACAAGAGTCAGCCGTGATGTGTTGCGCATTAGATAAAGTACAACTACCAGAAATTAAGAAACCACTAGAGCCATTGAACGGATTGCTCATCGGCATGCCTGAAGGTTGAAAACTGTATATAGAATCGATAGATAAAGTTTGTGAGTTTTTAGAGTCACTGGATTTGTTAGGCATGCCACCACCACACATTCTATGACTGTAAGTTGGACCGCCGGTTATTTTACTTCTATTTTACCATCAATAAGTCGGAAGACCAAACGATGTCTGTTTACGGCTTAGGTTTGGACACGTGGCATGTTCTCGCGTGGGCAAACTATCAAGCCTATGTGTGTTGGCTAAACACGAATAAACATATTACTTCTTGAATTTAACTAAATTTAACTTTTAAGAGATCAAACAAGGAATATGTCCGTTATTTTAATGAAATATATTGAATCAAGAAAACGAATGGTTGGTGTTTTTTCCTTTTGATCGGCGATCATCGTCTACAGCGCTCAATTCCTCTTTTTATCATACAGCACATTGTCACACAATTACAATACATTCATTATCATTCATTTAAAAAAAATAATAATCACTTGAACTAATTTATATGGCAAAACAACGCTTGCCGGGATATCTAGTATTTCATAAATTTTTTTTTAAACAAAAATTTAAAAATGAATAAATAAAGTTACTATTAAGACTATATATTTGTTATTTGTTATAAGAGAATTTCTCCTTACTCGTTTGTAGTAATCTACGAATGTGACATCTTTTTCCTTTCGTTTGAAAGTGGATTTGGGCGACATACCGAAATCTATATCACTCACACGATATGTTTTGTTATTATAATCAGTGATTACTACCATGCCTGTAACAATGTATTATTATTGATTATTATTGAAGTATTGATAATCATTTGATTTTATTCTAGATATTACTATGTACTACTTACCAATTACTTCGGCCTCAAATGCGTTTTGATAATCTGATGACACTTCCACTAATTGAGTCAAAATGTTGTAAATTGTGTCAGTGCGCAATACCTTATGTGCGATTTCAGCACACATCAGTATATCCAATTCATGCTGACGAATAGAGGTAATATATCCTGGCCAAATTTCCAAACGAAAATTCTCAATGCGTATCTAGAATGAAAAAAAAAAAATAAAACAAAAATACTTAAAACAATTTTTTAAAATTACTTTATATGAAATATCTAAGTTAAGCTTGTAGCAAAATAAACTTCATTAAGCAATTACCATACACTAAACTTACTTTAGCTACTGGATCAAAGAAATTTCGATTCAATTGTTGTAGTTTCCAGCCTTCCATAGATCGACGTAAAATCAAGTTGAGTACATGCATCTGTTGCATATCTGTTAATTCTACTATGCGAACATGTTTAATTTTAACTTGTACTGTATTTCCTGCACGATCCTTTGTTAGTATCTTATGGACATCATTCACCATTATACTTTTCAGATTTTGTGTAGAAAATAGCAAAGTACCATCAAAAACGTTACCTCCAAACAAATCTTCATACTGTCCTATCATTCCACGACGTACATGTAACAAATCGACTTCTGGTGCAAAATCAACACGTTACTGATGTATAACCGATTTCGGTGTTCTTAATAGACGAAAATAATTCGTCTGAACCATAACTGGACGACCAACTGCACCTTGCTTATTTACGCACGACAATGGTCGAGTATGTTGTATAACGTCAGTTAAGAATTGTTTTAACCGCATTCCACGTATTTGGTCAATTGCAGCTATAGATATGGATATAACAACATAAAGAAACAATATAAAATATCATAGAAAGAACAATCATAATTATTGTCATAATCTGCATACCAATAGTTGCTGCCTCAGTGTTATCATGACTTTGGTGAACGTTTGAACTGGGAGAACCACTGGGAGAACTAAAGGAAAATATTTACGTCAACATAAGTCTGGTTAAATAATATATTTTATGGCATACTCATGAAAACACTGGAAATGGACACATCGGACTGATGAGAAGATCCACAACTTGCTGTTGACGGCAAACTACCAAAACTCTAATATCAAATGAATAAAAATTAATTAAATCAAGTCTCTTTAAATCTTAAATTTGTTCTTACTTACAGATGATTCAGAGGCAGGATAACTGCCAAGTCCATCACCGCGACCACGATACATGCCAGGTCTACGCTCTGCACCACTGCGTTGTTCACCACGTTGGCCACTACCGCCGCCGCGAGGTTGCCAGCCACGGATGCCACCACCATCACCATCATCGCAGTTGCCACGATAGCCGCCGCCGCCACCACCACCATTATCGCCGCCACGTCTACCTCTGTCTCCTCCTCTATTTTCAGAACTTCTTCCGCGTTCTCCTCCACCTCCTCTATATTCCGCACCTCTTCCGCATTGCATTCTAAAGATGTATTAAAACTTTAAAATTAAATTATGTTTTTAATTATTTTCACATGCATTTGTGCAAAAAGCAACTCCAAAATTTATTGGAATTTTAATTCTTCGTAAAGCAAAGCGACTTCCACTTATTGCGTCGCCGATGGCAGCACATTTTGACAATTGTTCGACATTCTAAGTGCTAAGAAAAAAAATGTGTATACACAACTGTACACACATACATATACACTTGTATATGCGAATATGGAATGAAGATTGCATATAAGTTGCATATTAGACCATTAAACAACAACAAAAACCATTAAATAAATTACCATTAAAGTGAATCATTCATTCCTACTACCAGTTGCTTCGAACTGTTGCTTTTTTATTCCTTTTTATTCTTTTTTGTGCCACTGATTGTGCAGACTCCAAGATATGTTGACATAACTTATGTATAGGATACGTGTACCAATGTATAGGGCTACATATAGGGCGTATAGGTTGACCTGGTTTGTGAATCTTAAGAGTTCCGTATAGATAAGGTAGAGATGGATTTTTTGTATTATACTCCTGTATAACTTGATGGATTTTGTGAGGATAGGGTCTTCCATTCCCTTTATAAATCCTGCACAATGCGCGATAAAGCAACCGGTACTGAGCGCCGCACTTACGCACCAGAATACCAATATCCTCGGTTAGTTGGAGGCAATAGCCCTCTTTTGTATAATTTTTTAACCAGTCGTCCACCTTAGTTATGTAGTCGTCTCTATACATAAGAATTGTTGATTTACTCTTGTCTGCCTGAACCGTTACTACGTTGCGATGTAATTGAAGGAAGTTGTAAGTTGTCTGGTAAAGATGTTGCAACATTTTATGATGGTGAGTGGGTTGCCTATGATTGACCATTACTTCTAAGAATTTGTATATGTTCTCATCCATCTCGTTCCGGCATAGTATGTTAAGATCGAGACAGGCATCTAGGTGTGCTTCATGGTAATTGTAGATGTAGGAGAGGTAATTGGTTAAAGTGGGAGGAGATACAGGACAGTATTTCGGACCGAAGCTCAAGAGGATTTCTACCTCCTTAGGAATTTGCAAACTGGTCAAATTCATGAATCCACCAGGGATGGGATGAGGATATAATATATCCGGGATATATTTTTGCGGGATAGTTGTCAGAATCTGAGGAAGGGATAGCTCAGAAGTATGAGCTAGATAAGGTGCTAGATTTGTTGCGGGAATGATAATGGATGGTAAAGGGACTGTAGGATGTGCGGTAGGTAGTATATTACGCGTATCTAGTGCGTGCTCAACCCCATCGGTATATGCCGATAACCACGTACACTCTCGTGGGTCATTTAGTTCCGCTAACGCAGCATCCATACTTGTCGTATTAGAAGTGTTACTGTGTGCTGTGATATGAGAAATATTATATATATATAGATAATGTCCCACATTTTGTATGTAAGATATGTTAGAAATTTAGATATATAATAATAGCTTATAGATAATATAGGTTATATAAGAAGTATTTAGATTGCTGGATTGTGTCTTGAACTTGTGGTGATGCAACAATACATTGTACTCAAGTCAACTTTCTTGTTCAGAGATGGATGATTGTTATGTGTATGAATGGTATTTAATGTGTATATAAAAACAGAATAGTAGATATTGCAACATGATTTATTATGCATATAAAAAATAGAATGGTAGATATTGCAACAAGTTTTGTATGTAAAACATGTTAGTTGTACACATGTTTTAAAGGATTGTAACGCTGACTGTTAAGTAAGGTTTCTTTGAAATGGTTTTTGTGGGTAATATTAAGCTTAGAATTATTAAATATTTCTGGAGTAATATTAAGCGTTGGATTATTAAATTTTAATAAATATTAAGGTATAAAATATAAATATAAATAAATATAAATGTATAAATATAAATATAAAAATAAACATTTTTGACAAAACAATATAGGATAAAATTTTGAAATAAATTTATGTTTTCAGAAGATAATAAAGGTAAAGGTATGAAATATAAAATCTTTGTTAAGACAATATAGATTGAAGTTTTGGAATAAATGTAGGTTTTGAAGTGATATAGGTGATAGTATAAAATATAAATTTTTGGTTCTGATAAGACCATATAAGTTAAAGTTTTTGTAATAATATAGGTAAAGTTTATAATACATTTTTAATAGATTTTGTATATAAAAAAGAAATTGGTTATTGACAGACTTTCGAATAAATAAAATATAGGTTGAATTATTATATGTTAAAGTTTATAATAGTTTTTTTTAATAGATTTTGTATATAAAAACGAAATTTGTTATTGACAGACTTTCGAATATATAAACAAAATTTTTAACAAAAAATAGAGGTTGAAGAGTATATATATAGAATTCGTTTTAATGGATTTTTGAATATAAAAACAAGACTTGTTATTAATAGATTTTTGAATATATAAACAATTGTTGATAAGACAATATAGGTAAAAGTTTTTAGAATAAATTTTGATAATGCAGTATAAATATCATTATGGGTTTGAATTTGTAATGATTTATGTACCGTGATAATTTTTTATGAGAATATAATTTTATAACAAAATATAGGTAGTAATTGGTATACTATAATTGTAATA